AACAACTGCTTCTCCCTATCTCATGAGGCGTTCAAGATACAGAAAGGATAGTGCAAAGGACTTTTCACCACGAAAGTAAAACGAGCTGCGCTTTATTATAGCTTCGCGATCAAAAGCTGAAGCATATATAAAAAATCTGCATGTATTATCTTATAAAGTTAAAATTATTGTGGCGATTACTGCTGAAAACTCAACCAGTGAGTCATTTGTGGTTTCTGGTCTCTGAACACACTTTGATTAGATGGTCACCAGAGGGCGCGCCATGCAGGTGAAAGTCCTACACTGACCACAGTACTTGAACACATCGTTAAAACGAAGCGAAACCGATATCGCAAACTGAGAAGTTACTAGAGACTGCCGGCAAGTTCCATATACCTCCCCCTGTACTAAACTCTACCCAGGCAGAGTGTGGGTCTCAGCCACCGGGACAACATACATGCACTGAGTAATGCCATTATTAGCAACGTTCATAAGGGCAACAGATAGTTTGTGAAGAGGGGAACTTCCTCGTTGTGATCTCTCAGACTGAGCAGCCGGTAAGACATGCTAATAGTAGCAAAGCTATGCTACGCTATGTTAGCTGCCATAAAACACCATTCAAAACCCACACGAGTTAGCATTACTTAGCTAGCCCGTTAACGCATAGAACGAGTGGGAGTAAGACGACTTTTAAGCAAAATCTCGAGGAAACAAGATTCAGTCGTGGCTCTTTTTGAAAGTAGGATTTAAGTAATGGTTTGGAGAAAATGTCATGAACAGAATATGACTGTGTAACTGTTAGCGGCTAGGTACCAGATTAGCTTACAGTTAGATAAGCAGGTTTGTTAATTTGGTGTGGGGTTTTTAACCTGAGGTTTAACTGATTTAAGTTAAGCCTGTGGTATATGTGAGTGCAAACTATTAGCTGCCATCAAATCTCAGTTTTATTATTATTATTATTATTATTGTTGTTGTTGTTGTTGTTGTAGTAAGGCTACAGAAGCTGAAAGTGAAAGTATTTTTATTGGTTTGTGGTTATATGTCATATGACATATGTTATATGTCAGAGCTGGGTGCAGGATTTCACTCTATACATTTTTGTGGACACCATGTTAATTAATTAATTGGTTAAAAAGTAAAGGCATGTGGAAGAGAACATAAAGCACCACTGCAAGAAAAAAATGACTTCAACTTAATTAATTGTTTAATTGTTGTACAGTGTAACTAATTGAAAAAAATTTTAAGATTAGACAAGATATGTTATATTGATTCCAGATTTGGAAAATTCTTTAATTTACAGCCCTGCCAGTGGCCTCAAACAAAAATAAGCCTCTGTGCACTAAGCAAAGCTATTTGATATATATTCTTGTTAGTCAATCTAAAATTGCCTGCATCTGAATGTGACTATATAGTGTTGGTAATTAAAATTACTCTTGTGATTTAGTGTTAATCAGGCAGTCTCATGGCGTGCTTATGGTACAATTTTT